AAAAATTAATTTCCAGTGGCTAAACCCACCCCGTCCCGCAGCTTATATTTGTTGTTTGAACATTCTCTCATTCACACTCTGCTTCGCGCAGACATGTCTTTGCCTCTGCCTATGCCTTTGCCGCGTCTCTGCCCTAACTCTGCAGTGTGTGGCTCTACGGGAAGGGTGGCGAGCTAAAGCAGCGTGTTGGCGTGAGTAGTGTTGTTGATGCAGATGACAGATGAAGAACAAATGTAAAATTTGACAAATAACCGCTAAGGAGCAGATGTAGTACTGAGTGCCGGGTATAAAAGTTGTGACACGTAAGAAGCGTCTCACACTTCCCTTTATAGTTTAACATGTGTTCTTCCGAACACCCTAATACAACTAAATCGTCCATACAGAGAAATGCTTGTGCAGGTGATAGTCCCGCAAATGCCATTGTCATCATTCGTTGGAATGAATTTGGCGCTATTTTGAGACCGTAGGGCAATCTTTTGAAACTATATGTTCCATTGTCTGCAGTAAAAGATGTGACGTTCCTTGGCATCTTGTCTAGTTCAATTGGGTGGAAACCTGATGTTAAATCCAAGCAGGAGAAATACTTTGATCTTCCCAATTGATTAAAATATCATATATTCTGTGTAGTGGGAACTTATCAGCTATTAGTTTTTTATTTGTGCCCCTATAATCAATTAATATCATTATAATTATAATCAATCATTCGCCATCTTTTCTAGGTATTCCCTGGTAGTGACTTTTTTGGTACTAGTAGCAATGGGCTGGGATACGCAGATGCTGAGGACTGTCATCTTTTATTTTTATTTTTTATTTTTTTTAATCGCTACAGCGAAATTGGTTGGTCGCAGATGATGAGTCCTCATTGACCACTGTCATCTTGTAGTTGTTTCTTTATTTGAGAATTTATTTCTTCTTTTTTGCTTTGGGCAGTTCTATAGTTCCATCGTTTGCTATCGGGTCACTCTCCAATGCAAGTATATCAACATATTCCGAACACAGGCTATTCATTTTCTTTTTTATACATTTTGGAAAATATTTATTACGTTTTTTTAAAGTTTCTTTGCTTTTGCCTACATTAAAATTTGTACTGGTAATTTATTTATAATCGTCAAGATTTTCCGTTTGAATATTTGCATCGGACACTGCACAATTATTATAAGTTGTATTGATCATTCTGACAAAAGTTTGTTTGCTGGTGGTAATTGTATTTGCAATAAAATTGCCATTATTAATTTTCTGGTGAAGTACAAGACCTAGCTGAAATAGTTATTGTGTTTATATTTTGTGCTTTGCGCGTAGGTATGGCAAAGTCTTCGTGAAAATCGTGTGGTCTTAAAATTAACCAGTTTTGCCTATCTTGGTAATCTAAAATGCAATTATATTTTTTAATGAAATCTAAACCAATAATGCCACTACAGTTTATTAGGAAGTCATCTTGAACTAAATTGAAAGTATGTTTTATTAAAATATGGTCACAAATAAAGTCTGCTACTATTGTTCCCAGTGTATTAAGTGTACTTTTCCCTATACCTTTAAGGTTTGTTGTAATTTAAGTATTTAAGTATATTAATTGTTATTTTGCCAATTTTAAATATTGAAATTTCTGCCGCTGTATCCTCTAGAAGCGTGGATACTTTATCGTTCAGTGTAGTTTTTGTTGAGATGAAACTATTGAAATTTAAATGAAAATGTAAAGCACAAAGATCGATCTTCCAGCGCTATCTATTTTTTATGAGAAGTTTTTTCGTTCTCCGAATTTGTTTGACTGTCTACAACGTTTACATTTCATTCCCATGTCTGGGACGAGTTTTCTGGCTTTATAAAGAAATTATATTATTGTTTGCGGCGTGTTTCAGCTTTTCGGTTTTTCACCATCTAATGGATTTTCACCTTCTGAACTGTCTTCACAGTCTTCGCTGTTTTGCAGCATTGTTGTGTCGAAATCTGCAAATTTTTGCCAATGGTGCCTATTGTAAATGTTGTCGAGGCATTCTGTTAGACTTTTGAGAAAGTCTGTTACTTGTTATACCCGGTACTCGAAGAGTAAATAGGGAATATTGTATTTGTGTGAATAACGGTTGTATGTAACGCACAGAAGGAAACGTTTTCGACCCCATAAAGTATATAGATATTTTTGATCAGCATCAAAAGCCAAGTCTATGTCTGTCTGTCTGTCTTGTTTGTCGGCTAGTTCTCAGAGACTATAAGAGCTAGAGCCACCAAATTTTGGGTCCAGACTGCTTTATGCTCACACTGAAACCAGTGTATTTCAAAAATAAGTCCTGCCCCCTTCCGCCCCCGCAAAATGGCGAAAACCTCCCAAAGCTACAATTTGAAGATAAAAGAAATCTAAAAAGGCCATTCAGTAGGGAATGATCATATCTATCAGATCACTAAATTGGGATCCGATTGGATCATTATTATAGTCGCAGCTTTTATTTGTTGGTTTGCACATTCTCGCATTCACACTCTGCTTCTGCAGTGTGCGGCCTCTACCGCGTCTCTGCCGTGGATTCCCAGTGTGTGGAACTAAGGAAGTGGGGCGAGGTAAATGAGCGGTTTGACGTGAGGAGTGTTGTCGATGTAGATGACAGAAGAAGAAAATATGTAAAATTTGACAAAAACCGCTAGGGTACAGATGTAGTACTGAGTGCCGGGTATAAAAGTTGTGACACGTCAGAAGCGTCTCACACGTCCCTTCTCGTTGGTACTTCTTTTGGTCGTCTGTTTTGCCCCTGGTAGCTTTCTCCAGGCCGATGAGGAGGCGTCGCGTGCGGACTAGGCGGACCTGTGTACCACCTCACTTAAGCGACGGTAGTTCTTGAAAACCTTTTGGTGGTTTCCGTTTTTTTTCTTGTCGGCGTTTCTGTCGCTCCTTGTATTAGGCTACCGTCAGCCGTTTTGGTCCTGAATTTGGAAACTGTTCCAATAATTCCTCTATGGTAGGTTGATCCCTCTGCATTGAAGGATTCCCGGTCAGGAATAGGACGTCTGCTTCAGGCATCTTATGAAGCCGCTTTCGTTACCATGCTGTCTGATACTCCCGCATCGGAATCTTAAGGTGGCAGGCAGTGGCTCCCCGATGTGGAGTTGAATCCCGTGGAATTGGAATCTCCGCGTGACAGGCGGCAGCCAGTCTTTCAGAAATATTTGGACATGTCCCTTATTTTGGATTTTCTTAAATGGGACGTGACAAGGACAAGCCATGTTTATGAAATTTATTATTTTATTGTTTTGTTGGTATCTGGAGATAAATGCCTCTGGGACCAATACAAAATTATTTTAGTATTGTTTTTGAATTGGCGCCTGGCAGGATCGCCATGTAATAAGACAGCTTTTATTATGTCGGTATGAATCTTTATTGTAAAATTGAACTTTTAGTTATACCAAAATAAAGAGGGCGAGTTGCCCCATGCACGTGTCAAATTAGCGTGGGAATTTAGCACTCCGAATTATATGTCGCATGTCGATATGTTGACGTTATAATTCATACGGCGGCAGTTGTTCCGAATGTCAGATGGATCACCGTTCGCGACTGCATTGCTTTATATTGCAATTTTCAGGTGTCATGCTGGCGTGGGAATTTATTATAAGTTTATGTAGCACTATTACAATTTGCCGTTAGGGTGGTCCTTAATTAGATTAAGGTAAACACTCGGCATGAGTACATTACAATTTATATAAAGCTATTTTTGGTTTGCAAACCTCTCAAGGAAAGCATTTCTAAAGTTTTATGCTGCATCCAGTGTGCATCGGTGTGAGTCCAGTGAGTTTTGTTGGCTGCATCATGGTGCTATCTGTGCAGGAAAAAGGCATTAGAAGCCCTTCTCCACACAGCCTCTTAACTAATTGAGTAATTTGCTCAACTTGATTGCTTTCGAGTGGAGTTGTCAAACAAATTCTGGCTCGTGCAACCCCTACAGCTGTTGAACACTCCTACACGCAGCGGCTTGCTACGTCATGGGGTCGTTCATTATTCCGCACTAATTAAGGCTATGCGACAAAAGGTGGCGCTTTGTTTTTTTCAACGCTGTCGCTGCCGCTGCTGCTGCTCCTGTTGCAACCGAACCGGCAACTGGCACTGCTTCTGCAACTGTAACTGTTACAGCCATGAAGTAACTATAAGGAGGCCTCGTCGGTGGCTGAGTGCCGATTTTCAGTGCTCGTTTGCTTGTCGACGCAGAAGGTTGGTTGCGGACAACATTTTTTTTCAAAAATTTTTTCAATATGTTAATTTTTTCAAAACACATACCTTCTTCACCTTTTTCAAATTGCCTTCAAATGATTAATCAGCACACTCCATTGTCGTTGCCCTCACACTTACAGCGAGAGCTCTTTCACTCGCACTTTTCACTCGCATGTTTGCCTAATTTTTTCCGACGAGTTATGTAGTTTCTTCATGGTTACAGCTATACTACGGGTCTTGCCGACACTCCAAGAGAACCTGTGTGTTGTAGAAGGGTGAGTGTTGGGAGTGGGAGTCATCTCCACACATACCATAAATACAAAGCACATAAAAAATATAAAAAAAAACAAACCAGGATATTTATTAATAATATACATATGCATACATACATATGTATGTAAGTAATATTTAAATATAACACGGGAATTATTTATTTATTGTATTTATAAAATGTATGTAAGGAGTGATTAATGCTCGCAAGGCGAGACGTTACATGTCATCGCCACTCGGCTGAATATTATAAACTAACTTAAGAACTCTAAACTTCCCAACTGCGGACCCTTAGCTGCCGGCCACGGCGCTCGTCGCTGACCAGCAAAAATGCTGACCTTGCGCCTCGTGTGTGGTGTCCAGTGGCGACCGGCATCCGGCGATCGTGACGACGGCGATCCCACGGGTGACGAAACTGCTCATTTTACAATATTGCAGAATTCGTTCCACCCAGTGGTCAATTTAGTTAACTCTTGTTAACTTGTACATATGTTTATACATGTATGAACATTCATACATATATGAACATACGTATCAGGAGAAGAAAAATACATGAATATGGCATCCTCGGCTTTCATGATCTTAATCACGGGCTGCTGCTACTGCTGCTGCAACTCCTGCAACAGTGGCTCCGCCGTATCCCGCTCAATGTAGAAGGGTGCCGCCCCGATGTGCTTGCACTTGTACTTCAGCTTACAGCACTCCGGGAAGGGTTTGCCATGGTTGATGCGCTCGCCTCGATTGCAGTTCTCAATTCGCAGTTTGCCGCAGCTGAAAAAGAAAAAGTGATTCTATTCCAGTTGTATTTCTTCGAATTGGTTGCATCTTGAAGTTTAATGACTTAAAGTTCGTACAAAATCTTGCCACATCCATCGGTACATCCATACTTCGAACTATTCTAGCTACAGTGATGCGTCCTATCTGATCCGACACGGATTTCAGCAATGAAGTGAATATGGGGGGTTCCATGGTCGAATACAACTAATTATCTAGCTAACTTAATAACTCTCTTAATAACTCCAATTTCTTTCATTTCAGAACATAACTATGTTTTCAAATCAGTTCTTGTTGGTATTTTCTTCTCATGCACCCAGGCTCTTCATGCTGGTCAATAACTTTGAAGAAGCACTAATAACACTCCTCGACAAAATCAAACTTTTTTTTCCGCTTCGAAACAAACCGAGTTTTTCTGATTTACTGAGGGATTTACAACTTTTTGAGTTGTGTGAAAAAAGAAGCACTACCTCTACAAAAAAGCAATAAAAAATAATACCAGAGTTTAAAAATTCTTTAAAAGAAAGTTCTGCCATGAAAAAAATTATGATCAAACCATTTCTAAGCCCATATCTTTCATAAAAAGATGGTCTGGATCGAAGCGGCAAAACCGTGTCGAGTAGTGTAACCGAGTCGACATATGCAAATCCATATATATATATATATATATATATATATATAAATACATATATATGTATACGTGCTTATTTAAAATGTATCTACATAGAAATATTAAGTATACCTACATACATATCGCCTGGACTGGATTGGATGCTACACCATCAAGTGGCCAATGCGGCACCAAGCCAAAGCCTGTTACGCGCGGAACCCAGCAGAACGCAGCCCTAATCCCTCCCAATCGGCCGAGGGGAGCTGCCGCATGACGCGCTGCGCGATTAACCGAGCCGGTCGCGAGCAAGCAGAAAATATATCTGTTACGCTAATATTCGAGGAAAATTAGAGCTGAACACAACTAAACTAGAGCAAGGAACAAAGGAATAAAGTTTCTGGTGGGTCTAATGGGAATCGCAAAGTTTATGCGGCACAACAAGTCAGGGCTGTCTACATCCCCTTGATCAAGTTATGCATACAAATTACACCAAGCCTTTTTTCTACAACTAACTAAGGATGAAAGGTGTAAGGTTGCGAACCAAAAAAAAAATAAAAATTAGAATGCCTGTACTAAAATTGTATTAAGAACATTTTTTTTGGGATCATTCTTTCTTATTTTATCGATCAAATAGTGAACTTTTCCCACTGTACATACATTTCAGAGAGCACCGCATGCAAGATCTGAAGCTTTTATCTCGAAAAGCTTTCACATGCAAAGATTTTCTCTCCGCAAGCATACCTTACGGCTAGCCCTTCTGGAAGCTTCTTCGATCTCATTTGGCGACACAGCTTATGAAGGTGGTAAAGTAATTAGGCTAAGTGCATGCTGCACAGAGCAAACATTTCATTCAAAGGTGGAAGACTAATTATGTTCATATAGAAAAGGAAAAAAAAAACGTGGAGAAAATTCTGAAAACAGTAAAAGGGAACATAAACCCGATGAAAACGAACTGAAAAGTGTTGTGGCTGCAGAGAAAAAAAAACTAAACCTGGATATAAGGTATGAAAGAATATCTGAAATCCAAAGTGGCCTTATTACATAATCTCATGTTTGTACATATACATAGGTTATGACCCACATGTGGCAGAATAATTGCTGACCTGGCCGATCCGGCCCTATCCATCAATTTCGGAGGGTGGTCCGCTCCAACACCACGATCATCAGACCCTATTTTTTGGTGTCACCGGACCCGGCCTGCCGGCAGAGACACGGATGGACTTGGTTAGCGGGACCTAGGCATATATACCCCTACATACCTACGAGAATTTCAGCAACGACGATATAAATCAATGTATAGTATAATGTATAATCAATGTATAATGTATAGTGACCGTGCCTTGCTTCTAAAAAAATCGTTGGTGCTTGAGTAATTGGTGGAAAAAAAAGAAAAAATTCCTTCTGCGGTCATTGCCCATGCGGTTGACCATACACCTATGCGCACCTAAATAGACCCACATGGCCGTATGTCACCCATTCTTTCCTACTCTCAGTTTTATTAAAATAAAAATCATAAATAAAATTAAGAAAGAAAATTAAACGAAAAATAAGGAAATATGAATGGAGAAAAAAATAGACCAAACCATTTATTTCATAATATTAAATATACCTAAACATTAAACTTAACAAAAAAAACCAGAAGAGACGTGTGAGACGCTTTTTACGCATCACAACTTTTATACCCGGAACTCAGGACTACATCTGCACCTTAGTGGTGTTTTGTCAAATTTTAAATTCTTTCTTCATCTGTCATCTACATCTACAACACTTCTCACACCAACACGCTCCGTTAGCTCGCCGCCCTTCCCTAGACCTACATACTGCAGACTCGCGGCAGAGGCAGAGGCAGCGAATGCACACAAAAAAAAAACGAGAAGGGACATGTGAGACGCTTCTTACGCGTCACAACTTTTATACCCGGCACTCAGGACTACATCTAGATGTAGAAGACATCGCCAACCACTAGATATCGTTCACATTACAGAACACGTAGTAAGAGCCTATATTTATTTTACGTAGTTTGTTTAACCTAGTCAATTATAAAAAGTTAAATACTCTAAAAATTTTGTCGTTATTTTAACCATGTAAGAACCTGGCTATCCAAAGTGTCGTTTATAAAGCTTTCACCGCGGTAGATACTTTTAAAGAACATGCGTTGAAACTACCAGGTTACCAGAGGTGTAAGACACGTTATTACTGGCTAAGGTTTCACAGCAAATTTTACGAAAGTGGCGCCATCTAGCGTTAAAAACCGAGTCTTGGTTAAAAGTCGTTAGAGTCATCGCCAGGGGGAGGGCAGAGGCAGAGGCCGAGTGAAGCAGAAGCAGAGTGTGAATGAGAGAATGTAAAAAGAGCAACAAAAGCTGCGGGACAGGGTGGGTTTAGCCACTGGAAATTAATTTCTCCATTGTGGCTATAATAATAATCCGATCGGATCCCAATTTGGTTATCTGATAGATATGGCCATTTCCTACGGAATGGCGTTTTTAGTTTTCTTTTATCTTCAAAACTGTAGATTTTGCGTGGGCGGAAGGGGGCGTGGCTCAGTTTTGAAATACACTGGCTTCAGTGTGAGCATATAGCAGTCCGGAGCCAAAGTTTGGCTGCTCTAGCTCTTATAGTCTTTGAGAACTAGCCGACAAACAAGACGGACAGACGGACAGACAGACANGCCAACCACTAGATATCGTTCACATTACAGAACACGTAGTAAGAGCCTATTAAATAAAATGCATCAAACAAATTGGATCAGTTAATATTTTTCAATTTATGAGATTTTTAAAACAGCAATAAAATTGGTACATTCTTGGACCGATAGGTTTCACAGCAAATATTTCGAAAGTGGCGCCATCTATGAAAATTTCTTGTACGCAACTTTGATGGTCCAATGGTCTCCACATTCTGTGCAATAATGACCGATAGGTTTCACAGCAAATTTTACGAAAGTGGCGCCATCTAGCGTTAAAAACCGAGTCTTGGTTAAAAGTCGTTAGAGTCATCGCCAGGGGGAGGGCAGAGGCAGAGGCCGAGTGAAGCAGAAGCAGAGTGTGAATGAGAGAATGTAAAAAGAGCAACAAAAGCTGCGGGACAGGGTGGGTTTAGCCACTGGAAATTAATTTCTCCATTGTGGCTATAATAATAATCCGATCGGATCCCAATTTGGTTATCTGATAGATATGGCCATTTCCTACGGAATGGCGTTTTTAGTTTTCTTTTATCTTCAAAACTGTAGATTTGGCAGGTTTTAACCCTTTTGCGGGGGCGGAAGGGGGCGTGGCTCATTTTTTAAATACACTGGTTTCAGTGTGAGCATATAGCAGGATATAGCATATATAGTCTCTGAGAACTGGGGGACAAACAAGACGGAAAGACGTACGGACAGACATGGCTCTATCGACTCGGCTATTGGTGCTGATCAAGAATATATATACTTTATGGGGTCGGAAACGTTTTCTTCTGTGCGTTACATACAACCGTTATTCGCACAAATACAATATACCCTATTTACTCTTCGAGTACCGGGTATAAAAAGGTTTGTGCCTTTAATGACGTCAGTGCACGAGTACAGAGCGCACCAATCAAAAGAAGAAGAATCAGTCTGACCATGTACATACATACATACGTAGTTTGTTTTTAGATTGAAAGCTCGGCAAGAGGCAGTCCTTCAAATTAGAACCGAATTGGACGGAAAAACGCCTTCAATCTGTCTGTTCAAATCTCATTTTAATTCAGTGTAAACATTTTAGTTAGTCTCAATTTCTTGTAGAATTTCATGTTGGCTAAACTAAATTGTCTGAGAACTCGACATGTGTAAACTTAATGTATATATAAAGAATTTACATACATACAAATGTATATACATTTGCTATGTCATCCATCCCTACTTACCTAAGCTACAATTTGAACTCATGTTTGCCGACAGTGCACTATGGGGAATTTGACCACTTTTTGTGGCAAGAATTTATAGCTTCCAAACGAAACAATTTTTTTTAATGTAATTTTTTGATATTAGTTCTTATTAGCGAGAGGGAGTTATGTTGGAGAAATGGACGTGGCAACGCCTTTTCTTCAGTGTAAAATCGAATTAGTATTTTATTTTTAAATTTAATCAAATGATGGGAGTATATTTAGTCATATTTTATTAAAAATTCCTTGGCAGGATTTTTAAAAATTGAAAAGTAGACGATAAACGGACTTTTACATTGATTTCTTGTATCCTGAAAAGCAGCTTCTTTTACTTGAGTTAAAGAAATGTTGGACACAATAGTACTGCACATTAGTGAAGAGATACTGGAAGGGTGTCAGCATTATTATAATTGTACGATTTTATATGAATTTAGGCAATCTGCGCAGTTATTTTCCATTTTTTTCATGTTTTCCGTGAAATTGTGAAAATGGATCGAGAAACTGTTAAAAAAAATTCTTCAAAGGGTCTAAAAATAACCCCTAATCGCTCAAAAAACTAGTGACAGTTCATACCGCTTAAAGGCAATGTAAATTGGCATCCACTTTTGTAATTTACTTGGTCACTGAGTTCCACCTTGCAAGCGAATCAGAATTTTCAAACCATAGGTTATATTACGAAAATGTAAATATCTGCGAAGACGCAGAAAAGCGCAGACATACACTTGACCAAGGACTGAACAGTCTACAATATTCATTAAGTTTAATGCTTCCGGGAACTACCAGACACTTTGTAAGCCTCTTCAAATACAAATGTTCGTTACATATATAGACATGTTTAAAAACTAGCCATTAAACCAAGTATGAGGTAAATTTCTTAATTTCAAACTACTAAGTACATTTTAAATAACTGTCTGAATCGATAACATATCAAAAATGCACTTAAATTTCAATTTTAACTTGATTAAAAAAATGATTGCTCGGATCATTTTCGCTTGTTCATAGCAAATAGCTGACTTCTACAGATGTTATCTTTTCAGTGGTACGCACTGTTACTTTTTTGGGTACGTAACATTAAAGATGGTGTGATTCTAATGCATATCGGTTAAAAAAATATTGTTTTATAGACGTTAGAAAATTGAGATTCGTCCAGAAAAAGTGGTCAAGTTCCCCATAGTGCAGTGGTTGTGATCGAGTCAGTGTGTGTGTGTGTACGTGCGTACAATTGAATGTGTGAGTGTGTGTGTGTGTGCATGTATGGCTTATCAGTGGAGTGCTGTGCGCATGGCTAATTAGAGTACTCTACACTCACCCCTCGATAAGTATGGAGCCATCCGCGTTGCATGTGAGGCGCTGGCAGGGGGAGATACCGCTTTTGACACCCGACTCCAAGGCGTCGCCCCGATAAGTGCATCTGCCGGGATTTGCTGCAAAAGACAATCGCGGATAATAAAGTTGGGACTCTCTCAGTGGCATACACTGACTGAATGGCACATCCGCTTACATGGATCCGGCGGTATAAGGCCCGAGTAGGCGCTTACCTGCGCCATCGCCAGGGCACTGCCGATGGCCAGCCAGGCCAGAAAGTGTGTGTACCTATCTTGAGACATGGGTGCTGCCGCGCTCGTGATAGAAAGTGCTCTGAATCCAACTCGATTCAGACTGCCATGCGATTAGATCCGATCCGATCCGCTTTTGCCAGCGCCCCACTACGCACTCTCTCGCTCGCCCATGGAGATCGCTGAATCGTGGCGCCATCTCGCTCCTTTGCGTCTTACCACTGCACATTGGGCAAAACTGTCAATACATCGGAATAGAAGTCACAACTTTTAATATACCAAAGCTATATTTTTTAAAGCGCTTATGCTGTATGATGACACACAGAAGGAAACGTTTCCGACCCCATAAGGTATATATATATTCTTGATCAGCATCAATTTGTTGGAAAAGTTAAAAAGTAAATTAATCAAATAAAATTATATTTAAATATAAACATATGGTACATATGTATGTACACATTTATACATAAATACCTACACATACATACCTACACTCAAAAGAAAAGAGTCGAGATTTATTTGATTAATTTACATACATGTGTTCCAATATAAACGAGAAGGGACGTGTGAGACGCTTCTTACGCGTCACAACTTTTATACCCGGCACTCAGGACTACATCTAGATGTAGAAGACATCGCCAACCACTAGATATCGTTCACATTACAGAACACGTAGTAAGAGCCTACTAAATAAAATGCATCAAACAAATTGGATCAGTTAATATTTTTCAATTTATGAGATTTTTAAAACAGCAATAAAATTGGTACATTCTTGGACCGATAGGTTTCACAGCAAATATTTCGAAAGTGGCGCCATCTATGAAAATTTCTTGTACGCAACTTTGATGGTCCAATGGTCTCCACATTCTGTGCAATAATGACCGATAGGTTTCACAGCAAATTTTACGAAAGTGGCGCCATCTAGCGTTAAAAACCGAGTCTTGGTTAAAAGTCGTTAGAGTCATCGCCAGGGGGAGGGCAGAGGCAGAGGCCGAGTGAAGCAGAAGCAGAGTGTGAATGAGAGAATGTAAAAAGAGCAACAAAAGCTGCGGGACAGGGTGGGTTTAGCCACTGGAAATTAATTTCTCCATTAAGGCTATAATAATAATCCGATCGGATCCCAATTTGGTGATCTGATAGATATGGCCATTTCCTACGGAATAGCGTTTTTAGTTTTCTTTTATCTTCAAAACTGTAGATTTTGCGTGGGCGGAAGGGGGCGTGGCTCAGTTTTGAAATACACTGGCTTCAGTGTGAGCATATAGCAGTCCGGAGCCAAAGTTTGGCTGCTCTAGCTCTTATAGTCTTTGAGAACTAGCCGACAAACAAGACGGACAGACGGACAGACAGACATAGCTCTCTCGACTCGGCTTTTGATGCTGATCAAGAATATATATATACTTTATGGGGTCGGAAACGTTTCCTTCTGTGCGTTACATACAGCCGTTATTTGCACAAATACAATATACCCTATTCACTCTTTGAGTACCGGGTATAAAAAAATCTTGTGGGTCATTGACAAGCCCAATCGCACAATCAAAACGAGAAGGAAGGTGTGAGACGCTTCTTACGCGTCACAACTTTTATACCCGGCACTCAGTACTACATCTGCACCTTAGCGGTTATTTGTCAAATTTTACATTTTTTCTTCATCTGTCATCTACATCAACAACACTACTCACACCAACACGCTCCTTTAGCGCGTTGCCCTTCCCTAGACCCACACACTGCAGCCTTGCGGCAGATGCAGAGGCAGCGCCCGCACACAAAAAAAAACAAATATAAGCTACGGGACGGGTTGGATTAAAAGTCGGCAGAGGCTTGGGCAGGGGGACGGCAGAAGCAGGGGCCGAGTGAAGCAGAAGCAGAGTGTGAATGAGAGAATGTAAAAAGAACAACAAAAGCTGCGGGACAGGGTGGGTTTAACCACTGGAAATTAATTTCTCCATTGTGGCTATAATAATGATCCGATCGGATCCCAATTTGGTGATCTGATAGATATGGCCATTTCCTACGGAATGGCGTTTTTAGTTTTCTTTTATCTTCAAATCTGTAGGTTGGGGAGGTTTTCGCCCTTTTGCGGAGGTGGAAGGGGGCGGGGCTAATTTTTTAAATACACTGGTTTCAGTGTGAGCATACAGCAGTCCGGAGCCAAAATTTTGTGACTCTAGCTCTTATAGTCTCTGAGAACTAGCCGACAAACAAGACGGACAGAGGACAGACAGACATGGCTCTATTGACTCGGCTATTGATGCTGATCAAGAATATATATACTTTATGGGGTCGGAAACGCTTCCTTCTGTGCGTTACATACAACCTTTATTCACACAAATACAATATACCCTATTTACTCTTCGAGTACCGGGTATAATAAGAAGCAGAAAAAAAGTTAAATTCATGCATAACTAATTAATTCTAAAAGGTGTATCATCGGTCTCATTGTGTCAATATAAGGGTATTAGTAAAATACCGCTTCACAATGCTTCTTGTTTTTCTTTTGCAATATTTCTCCATCTCTTAACAGTTCTTATGCCAGCGTGAACTTGTGCCCAACGACACCTGCAGATGTTTAAAAGTCTGTAAGTAGACACACATATATACACAAACACTCCGGTTCAGGAGAATAACATCTAACACAGTGAGACATGCATTATTAACCATTTTTAAAATGAATTATTATTAACAACAATAACCCCAATTATGCCACTTAATTCACTTAATTATTTCTTTCTTACATCACTAATAGTACAAATAGTTGCTTGTTATATTTTATTATATTATTTTAATTATTTTTTTATCATTATCTTGAATTCATATGTCGTTAGTTAGTCCCACATATACATACATGCATTAGAAATAAGGTTGAGGGTTAGGGTTAAAATAATGGGGGTTATCAATAATGTGAAGTTATACAAGTTAAAGTAAAATTATAACGATATAACATGAATTGCTAATCTTTCTTTTTGGGAGGGATTCCTAAGGCACTTAACGCAGCGGCAGAAGGTTTTGGGTAGAATCATAATGGCATATTCTTATGATATTCTACATGGAGGGTGGGTCAAGAGGGAAGAGCACTAACCCCTTGTTTTTCACAGTCGGTAATTGACATTAATTTCCGTCCGGGTTTGCAGTCCCGACCCAAGTTTCCCGTAAATCTGTCTGCGACTTTGTTAGGTGACGGAGTTCGTTTTCGCAGCACAAAACCCATCCAATTTTCCCTGAGCCTAGCCGGCCAACCCTTAGGAGACAGAGAGTTCTGACGAGACGACACTTCCCGTGTCCGTTATAACGGTTTATTAGAAGTAGTCTACTAAGGTACGATGGCAGTCTCACAGTTGCATCCCAGTTGAGGCCCCATAGGGCAAATAATAAAAAGTTTTTCTGTACTGATTCAATACGCAGGACTACATACAACATGACTCCCGTGGTATGTGTACTCGGCATAAGATTTTAGCCTGCTTGTTCGCTCTATATCTCTCAGAAGCAATATATCCCCAGGAGTTTAAGGAAACTGGTGGAGAAATATTTGGGTTCGTGTGGGTACCGAAATAAATGGATGGTAGAAATGTGTTCAGAAAACTTTAACTTGGGGTCTAGTATAACACCTAGATCATCAACCAATGTAATTCTCTCAAGAGAACTACCGCAGAGGGTGTAAGGAGCCAGGAAGGGGCTGGAGCGATAAAAAGTCATTACATTGCACTTCGAGGCATTAAGTTGTAACATATTAGCACAGCACCATGACTGAAAGCTATTGAGATCAGATTGCAAGCGAGAGTGAAATGAAATGTCCTTATACTGGACACAGAGAAATTGTAGTAGGCGTATGTATTCATGAGCTCTTAAACAATTATGTCTTCCGTCCAGTAATTATTTCTCACACTTTTCATTCCCCGGATTTACCGATGGGACACCATGAGGTCTTCATTCCATAACAGGTAAAGATAAGGAGTTTTTGAAAAGGACCCTTTGAGACCTAGAACACAGGTAGCTAGAAATCCATCTCAACTGATTGGGCGGAAACCCTAGAAGGTCGAGCTTTTGTGCAAGAAGAGAATGGTTTACAGAATCGAATGCCTTACTGAAGTCAGTGTAAATAACATCCGTCTGCAAGTTACCTTGGAAGCCTTTAATTACAAAGGAGGTAAACTCTAAAAGATTAGTGGTTGTTGATCGTCGCCGTATAAATCCGTGCTGAGCTGGAGATATAAGTGATTTCAGAGATGCTGCAAGTGCGGAGTTAAAAGTTTCTCGAACATTTTAGGAATAGTGGATAACTTATATATACCTCTATAGTTTTTAGCGTCAGACTTGCTACCTTTCTTATGGAGAGGAATTATAAAGGATTCCTTCCAGATGGGGGGAAAACTAGAAGAATGGATGGATAGAGTGAATAGTTTAAGCAAAGGTCCGCACAGAGACTCGGCACAGTACTTGAGTATACAGCCGGGAACTCCGTCAGGGCCCGGTGAAAGTACCGGCTTAACTAATTTAAGTTCATGAAGTAAGGAGCCTTCATTAAACAAAGGGCAGAAAATGCCATTCGACCTTGGTAAACTATATGGATACATATGACCTGGGTAGCTTTGCTGGGAATAGGTTCTTTGAAAAAATGTTGCAAAAAGATCGGCGATTGCCTGATCATTGTTTGCCGACATATTAAAAAATTATAGCGAGAATGGATGTGCGGACGTTCTACGCTTACTGTTTACAAAGCTGTAAAACTGTTTAGGGTCCTGTGAAAAACGTATCCTGCATCGAAGGAGGTAGTTCCTATAGCATTGAGTATTAAGAACAGTGAAATTTGACCGAGCTATTAAGTAATTAGAAAGAGAAGAGGGAGAACCAACTTCTTGAGATTTTTTAAATAGTCTTGATTTTAGATTTTTTAGACTGGATAACTCTTTGGTGAACCAAGGAGGTTTCGCAGATCTAGTCGGACATGAAAGTGGGACACACGTGTCAATTGACAATTTACATTTTTTTCTAAGTAGTACTAAGTACTAAGTTCTAAGTAACGCTCTTTTTGCTCGACCCCCGTCCCCTAGAGAGGCCCACGACACGAAGTGTGACACGAGTGTGGATGAGAGAATTTGCAAAAAAC